CCCTTGCATTGGATTATCGAACTCATCTGAGAAGTAGGGTGTTCTGTGAGAGGGATGGTGGTGTCAAGAGTTGGTAGAGGTTGGAGAGCAGAAGCATGTCTGACTTCCGCCTCAGCCGTCAGCCTTGGGCTCATGCTGTTGGTTTCAGTTCTCCTTCTGAAGTTCCAGGGTGTCAGATGCTGCACCCACATCATTGTTCTAATGCCATTTTCTTTATTTCTACGTGATTTACTTCTGTCCTTGGTCCTTTGATCTGTTAGGGTTTTTAGGATTTCTATTTCATACAAACAATATATTAGTTTGTGAGATTATGTTAAGCTGCAATTTTTAAGTGAAAAGAGAAACTATCGCCTCTGTGGATATTGTGGTACTTGGTTTAAAAATCCTTTCTTCGGTACATATTCACGGACAAGCATATTTTAAAAATCCAAGCTGTTAGGAACAATTATGATCTCCATGGCATGTTGATTTGGAATACGCTTATGATTTATGGTTGCTGTAAATACATGGCCGAGGCATGATGAATTGCTCTGAGGTGGCAGTCTCCACTTTCCTTAGCGTGTCCCCTCAGTATACTGTCGTCTTCATCATGGGTCATCTGCCTCTGAAGGCCAGGCTGCGGGTAGCCCTGGTCCATGAGGTTTGACCTCGCTAAGGGGTGGAAGGGCAGGGACAATAGTATTGTGCTCCATGGGCTCTGTGTTTATATAATGAACATTCATACACATATTTGCCTCTGTCTTCATTTGCCCCTCTTCATGGGACTGACCACAGTGGCTACTCTAAACATAGAGTATGATCTTCAGGTCTCTGTCCCTTTAAAAATAGGGCCAAGTGCTCACCACTAGGATACTGAGTCAGTCTTCCCCTTAGACTGGGTCTTTTTTTGGGTGGGGGTGGATGTTGTTGCCCATTTCTGTTATGTTGTACGATCACAACACATTTAAAGAGCAATTCAGGATGCTGTGGGACTGTTGGTGTCCTGGTGTAGCGCTGTGGGTTACTGTGCTGGACCGCAAAGTCGATGTGAACTGCAAAGTCGGCGGTTCAAGCTCACCAGTCGCTCCTTGAAAACCCTACACAGCGTTACGGAGGGTCGGAACTGACTCAATGGCACTTAACAACAAATAACAAGTGAGAGTGCAGTGGCCGTGTACCGTAAGCACTGGACTGTGAACCACAGGGCTGGCGGTTGGAGCCCACCAACTGCTCTGTAGGAGAAAGGAGGTTTCCTGCTCCTACAAAGATGCCTTGGAAGCCACATACAGGGTCATTATAAGTCAGAACTTACTCGAAGGCACATAATAACTGTAAGGCCTAGTATTGCCTAGTGGTTTGCTTAAATGTCATAGTGTTCCGTGTTTCAGTCGATACTTGGTAAGGCATTTCTCTTTCATATATATTTCTAAGTAACCACAGAGACTGAAGGCTGATGGGAGTGTATGGAGGCTGATGGGAGTGTACGGAGCCCTTCTTTGTTTCTTACTCACGTGACTTACTACTTGACGGCAGAGACAAGATGTTGTTTTATTTGTCATATTTGTAAAAGAACTTTCCCCAAAAGACTTCTCTGTAGGCCCACATGTGTGTAAATTCTCATATAGTGGTCCTCTGGGGAGAGTCATTGTAGTTTTATTATTCTTCCTGATGCATTTCTTGGACAACTTTTCACATAACAAAAATGGCCTTGATAGAATGATCCTACCATGTGCTTAGAGGATGCACACCGAGAGGAAAGTAAGGTGTGTGTGTGTGTGTGTGTTTTGTTTTTCTTGGTTGCTGTGTTATGTTGTTACCCCTGCTGGCTTGGCCTCCTACTCACGGTGACCCCAGGCACAGCAGAAGGAAACCCTACTTCATTTTTTGCTGTTGCTATGATTGGTTGTGGATCAGGTTGTGTGACCCACAGGGTTTTCCATGACTCATTCTTAGATGTGGATCACCAGACTTTTCTTCCTAGTCTATCTCAGTCTGGAAACTGTTGAAACCTGTTCAAGGGCTCAGCAGCACACAGGCCTCTGATGGCAGGCGGGCAATGACTGTGAGATAAAATAAACTTTGGAACAAGTGTGTGCTTGTTAAGTCTGGAGGTGTGCTGTTGGCTTTGAAACAAACTAGCAAAAAACACCTTCTTAAATTATCCTGATGTTTGTTAACAGGTCAAAATCATGTCTGGGAAGTGTATTTCTAGGTGTGAGGTATACGTCTTATAAAACTTAGGAAAACATTCCCCTGAAATGCTTCTGCTGCTGCCGTCAGTAGAAATGTATGAAACTTCCTGGCTAAATAAATAAGTGGCACAAAGATCAGCTTAAGAGGTTTTCAAACTGTTAAATCCGGTCACCTGGAGAAGAATATCTAAGTGCCAGTCAGCTCCTGGGTTCATTTCTAATGGGGAATGAGTTGGAGCAATCGTCCCAAGTGTAGTCACGTCCACCTGTGTATTCCCCAGCTCACCTGTAGAACAGGAGGACAATGGAATAAAATAGAGGAGCAGGTGGTCCATCTCTTTTCTAGGAAACTCACTTGAGACTAATTTTTCAAAGGCTGTGTGTATTCCCTTTTCAGCTTTATCTGTGAGTTCTGGCACATTTCCCCCTGGTGGATGTGATTTATTTTCTCCTCCATCTTCCGTACTGAGCAGGAAGCAGCTTCTGACTGGCCTCATCCTGCCCTCACGTAGGCTGGAGGTGAATGCCAGGTAGACCTCTCTGCATGTGTGACCGTGTTGTTCTCTTGATCCACCTTCCTTGTCATGAACTGTTCATTGAAGGTCAACAGCCTCCCTGGACCCATCTGCCCCGAATGAGTTGTTCCTCACTTCCTCTTCCTGTTTGTGGCATCCCTACTGTCATGGGTTGAATTGTGTCCTCTCAAAATATGTCAACTTAACTAGACCAGGATCCTCAGTCTTACATAATCATTCTCCATTTTGTGATTTGATGTTATTATCCTGTGTGTTGTAAACCCACACCCTTCTGGTGTTATTGAACAGGATATACAGTCTGTAGAATTGGGTTGTATCTTAAGTCCATCTTTTCTGAGCTATAAAAGAGATTATAAATGAGGAACCTCCTGCCACCAAGCAACAAGAGACAGGAAAAGAGTATGTCCTTTGGAACCCAGGTCCCTGCACTGGGAACCTCCCAAACCCAGGAGAAGATGGATGAGAAGGACCTTCACCCAGAGCTGAGAGAAAGCCTTTTCCCTGGACCTTGTTGTTTTTAGATGCCATCTAGTTATAGACATCAGTTCCTACTCACAGTGACCATACGCACAACAGAATGAAACACTACCCTAGTCTGCACCAGCCTCACAATTGTTAAGCTTGAGCCCATTGCTGCTGCCACTGTGCTGATCCAACTCATTGGGAGTCTTCCTCATTTTCATTGAGCCTCCACTTTACCAAGCATGATGACCTTCTTCAGGGACTGGTTCCTTATGAAAATACGTCAGAAGTATGCGAAACAAAGTCTCATATCCTGGCTTCCAAGTAGCACTCTGGCTGTATTTCTTCCAACACAGATCTGTCTGTTCTTCTGACAGTCCATGGTATTTTGAATATTCTTCTCCAACACCATAACTCAAATGCATCAATTCTTGTACAGTCTTCTTTATTCATTGTCTAACTTTCACAAGTATAGGTGGTTATTGAGAAGACCATGGTTTTGGATCAGGCACACCTTAGTTCTCAAACTGACATCTTTGCTCTTGAACACTTTAAAGAGGTCTTGTGCAGCAGATATGCCCAATGCAATACGTCTTTTGATTTCTTGACGGTTGCTTCCTTGAGTATTGATGGTTGACATTCGAGCAAAATGAAGTGTTTGACAACTTCAATCTTCTATTTATCATGATATTATTCATTGGTCAAGTGGTAAAGATTTTTTATTTCTTTACACTGAGGTGCAACCCATATCAAAGACTCCCTACAGCTAGAGCCCTGAATTTGGACTCTGTCTCCTTAAAGGTGAGACAGTAAGTTTCTGTTTTTAAAAGCCCTCCACTTGGGATTCTAGCAGCATTTGTTGTCTCCCTTTATCTCTGATCAAGGTCTTTTATTTTGTTGTTGAATTAAAAAAAAAAATATTTTGAACTGGGGGGAGGTTTGCAGACAATATCATCAGCTCTACATTCAACACATCTTACACCTTCCCTTCACCTCGATAATTACAATCCCCACCCTGCAACATCACTTATCCTGCTTGCTTTCCTCCCTGTGGCTCCCCATTTACATCTTATATTTCACAAATGAACAAAACAGCCATGATGAGCTGACTTTTCTTGCCTTGATGCCTCCAAAGCAAATAACTTGCTTGAAATTCAAACAGCCTTTAACATTCTGACTTTTTCCTTCAGGTCTTTCTCTCGATAAGAATCTTCTGTTCTCCCAGCAGTTCTGGGTTGGTCTGTGTGTCTTTTCAAGTGGGAATGTCTCAACTCAGAAGGTTCTGGGTGGGGCTCAGGTACTCTACAAAAGCTTAACAAGGAACCTATTCCTCTGGGCAGATGCTTTCCCCTTTTAGCAAATCCAATCAGTTATAGGCCAAAGGCAGGTTTACAAGCTTTCTGTCAACGTAATCCCCAATATTCATTTCTATCACACTCAAATGTCTATTTCACAATAGTAGGTGGGGAAAACCCATATCTACAAGACAGTCAAACACAAGAAAGACAGTCTCAATCCCTGTATCTACTCTCAGAGAACTGTTCTTTCAAGGTTACCAGATCTATCATGTGTCTATTGGCTGTGTTAATAACACTTTTTTTTTTTTTTTTTTTTTTACCAGCAGCACACTGATTCTGATCAGATCAAATAGTACCTTGGCTCGTTTGATACGTTGGAACAGCCTGTTGGTATCTAAACAGGTTGTATCTAAACACAGTAGTATCTAACGGTAGTGAGAGACAACATATCAACCCGTTGGTTATTCCAACATATCAAAGCATTAGTAAAGCACAGGTCCTCTAGGCAGGGCTCCACCTGCTGGTTGAAGAACATGGAAGCAGAATTCTGTGTGATTTCAGGTTTCAAGCAACAGGCAGGTATAAAGTGTGTACCTCACATGAGGGACAACTCAGTTCGATGACTGAGCAGATGCAATGCACTCAGGTGGTCTCTCTCCCTTATGGAAATGGTGCCATGAAGTTCTGTGTTCTTTTTCAGAAATCACACCATCCTCAAAGCCTCATCCACCTGTTGTGGGCAAAGTGACTCATCACAGTATCGAATTATACTGGGATCTGGAGAAGAAAGTAACACGACAAGGACCTCAGGAGCAGTGGTTCAGATTTTCAATCGAAGAAGAAGATCCCAAAATGCACACTTACGGTATCATTTATACGTAGGTGCAATGTTGAGTTGCTTCACATTTCGGGTAATTTCCTGGTTAATGAGAATGGGTTCCCTTGTCAACAGTGTGGGAAGAGTTGTGGGGACATGCACTGTCACACAAGATCACAACACCCTTGGCTAGCAGTCCTCTGGCATTTTATCCAAAATTCAGGCTTCAGCACTTTAGCAAACGATCTTGCTGTAATGAGCTCTGTTCATTGTTGAACCTTTTTCCTGATCGTGTTCCAATACTGGCTCTTGGGAATCCCAGAAAACTGTAAACATCAGATTTCCAACTGATGGTTGAGTTTTGAACGTTTTCTTGATCAGCGATTGAGGTCATTTCCACTCCATACTTTAAAGCTCGTAATAATGAATCCATGTCTCGTCACCAGTATCGGCTCCAATTTTGTTTGCAGATGTCCAAATGCTTCTGTTTATGGTCTTCCGTGAGTTGTCTCGGTACCCATCTCACACAAACTTTTCGAAACCCAAGCCTGTCATGGATTATTTCCATAGGCAGAGTCATGACTGATTTTACAAATGATCTGCCACATAATCCACTGTCACTTGTCTATTTGACAGAATCATTTCACATGCACACCTATGTTCTCATCAGCCATGAACATGAGTGGGTGTTTTAATATAACCGGAGCCATTAAGGAGCCTGTTCAGGAATGTTCCTACAAGGTCTGGCTAGATGAAGTAGCCCCAAGCCCACATTAAAATACACTCTGCTTCTAACTCTGGTGGTTCAGCTGTGAGGGGTGCATGAGGTAATCAAAAAAAATTGCCATCCAAACACTTAAACCTAGGCATAAGATGGAGTGAAGCACTGTAAACAACCTTCAGGTCTGACACTCTATAGAGACTGATGGTGATCCCATTGGTGACCCAAACTTGGACTTTGTTGGGTTCCCAGATGGCAGCTTATGGCAGGCTGTTTCAACTCCTGGTGGTCTTTTCCCAGATACCATTTAGTTCTTGGCCAGGGCTTCAAACAAAGAGTGACATACTTCATCAGCCTTATTGTAGAATTGAACGGAGCCAGATACTGAAGGGTGTATTTTTTTAGAACCTAAACTGTGGAGACAGAATCAGATTAAGTGCTCAGGTTACTTTATTCACAGACAGGGATGGGGTCCCATGTGCTCTTTGTGGGGCAGCTTCTCTGACCTCATGTCCTTCCACTGTCCCCTCTGTCAACTCTCTCCAACCAAACAGTCTTGACTAGGCCAAGCTTTTCCTAGAACAGGCTTCCCTCTGATTTTACGTGGTTGGTTTCTTCACGCCATTCAGATGTCATTGGGCGCAGTATTCTCTCCTCAGAAGGGGTCACTAAAGCAGCTGCCCTTCCAGTCTGGACATGCTCTGTCCCACAGGCTTGTTCTACATGCTTCATATTATTGAGCTCAGCCTGGTGTCACTGTACTTGTTTCCCCGTTCATGGTCTGTCTCCCTTACCAGTGTGTGGGAGTCGTGCTACCACATGATTCACACCCTGGCCTGCTTATTGAAAGATCGATAGGTGGTTCTACAGAACCCAGAGGTTCCTCGAGACAAAAGTCCACTTCTGCAAAACTAGCCATTGAAGACCCTACGGAGCCCAGGTCTACTCGGACACAAATGGGGTCATCATGAGTCAGAATCAATGAAACACCTGCTGATTTGTTGTTGTTAAATGCCACTTAATTCGTTTCTGACTCATAGCGACCCTGCATAGGGTTTCTGAAGCTGCCAGTGGGTTTGAACTGCAGACCTTTCAGTTCAAACTGAACTTGCAGTCGAGTGCTTACCTTACAGCACCATTGTTGTTAAGTGCCATCGAGTCACAGTAATGTCTAAAGGTAGTGAGAGACACAGAGACACCTGCTGGGGTAATACCCCCTCGTCAGCTCTGTACCATGCCTGGCTCACGGGAGGCCTTGCAGAATGTTGGTTTCATGAATTAAAGGAACGGATGCAACAGCAAGTGTCAAAAGTCATTTTCTCTCTGACTTGGTTGGAACTCTGACTTAATTTCGTCCCAATGGCTCCATTTCTGTGATTCTGGAAAATACTGTAAACAGGATGCAAATAGGTTTCTTAATCTTTTTATTCTGAGATTGAGATGCGGTTATAAGAACTAGCCACAGTGAGATTCCAAATGCTTTGTACTCATTTTCCTTTGGTGATTATGTCTGGGGGAGAACACAGAATAGCATCACAGCCAGGGTGTGACTGACCACAGATGCATTGAAGACACACAACTTTCTGTCACTACAAGGATGGGGACAGGCTTTCCTCAAGGTGGCACTGGCACGAAGACGTCAACCATTACCGGAATGACATCCCAGAGATTTTGGATCTGAGTCTCTGTACCTTCAAAAAAGGGGGAGGCATTATTGGAAATGTAGCTACCATGTGAAAATAGCTGTTGGCCTGGATACTTGAAAGCGTCACTTTTGAATCCTGTCCCATGTTTTTATCAGTTTTCCATCTAAAATGAGCTCTGATATAAGCATTTCGGTGGAGAAAGGAAAAACACATGCTTTCTTCCCGCCCCCATTTCCCTTGTGCACAAGCTGCCTTGGGAATCTCTGAGGGGAAGGTAGATTGTCTAGATACTTTGTCGTCTCTTTGGTTTGCTCCCTTGCCGGAGGCCAGCCTCACCTGGAAAAAGCGCAGCCCACGGGGACATTGGACAGCCTCCAGCCCCGTGGGTCAGTTGTGCTGTGTGCATTTCTGCTGAATCTTTGAAAAGGTGTGGAAGATGGTCGGACCGGACAAAGCCAGCCGCAGCTCCCCCAAACCAACAAGTCCTACACTGCTGAAAGGGCCTGCTGGTCCCTCAGAAACATGCAGCCCAGAGTGGGACACTAGGTGGCAGAATTAGACTGTCTTTCTCTGGACCTCCTTTGTTCCGTTAGATCATTTACTGTAGGTTAGCACTGAAACTGGGAAACGCTTTTTCTTTCAAAGCAATGATCTAGAATGTGTGATACTGGAACCTGGACTTGAGTACTTCTCCTGACTTGTTGGTTTCAGTTCCTATTAGCTGTCAGTTGCTCCTGGATTAGGAGAGTCATCCTCTTTGCCGTGATCGCTCCTCAGGGCTTCTGACAGCCTGGGTGACTTGTGCCTCTGTAAATCCCCTCGATGCCTCTGTGTTGCTCTTTCTGCTGCTCCACCTAACATCAAGCTTGTCATGGTACAGCTTAGAACGTGCCACACACACACACACCCCCCATCTGGGATGCAAGCACCATTTTCTGACTGGTTCATGGCTGTATCCCCAGTTCCCACCATAAAACCCAAATCCACTGCCTGGGGTCAAGTCTGATTCCTAGTGACCCTACATAAGGTCTTCAAGACCGTAAATCTGCAGGGAAGCAGATGGCCTTATCTTCCACCCTTGGAGAGTTGGTGGCTTCAAACCACTGACCTTGTAGTTGGCACTGATCCCACAGTGCCACCAGGGTCCCTTCCAGTTCCCACAACACTAGCCTATTTGAATGAATCAGACTTGTCCACCTCTTCTTGCTTCCTCAGCCTCCCTCCTGTCTTGCTAAGCCCCTGATTTTTGGGCTCTTGCTTTTGCTGAGAACTCCCCAGTGTGATTCCTTTGTTTGCAGGATGAAGGTCACAGAGTGTCCACTGGGCTGGGGACATGATGCCATCCGACATAGTCTTCCCAGCCCAGGCAGATGGCACGGCCTCTCTCTTGGAGTCTCGCCATTCATGTGCCAGAGCCGAAGATAGCCTGCCACACTGTGCCTTGAAGCTTCCACCCCAGATGACACACTTCACTTGTGCTTTATTGCTCAGTGAGTCCCATGGCCACATCCGAGTTCTCCAGCACAGGGACTGGAGAACAGCACACATTAATTAACTCTGATAGTGTAGTGGTTACGAATCAGGCTGTGAACCTCAGGGTCAGCAGTTCCAAACTATCAGCCGTTCCACGGGAGAAAGATGAGATTTTCTGCTCCCATAAAGATTTATAGCCTCAGAAACCCTGTACAAAGGGTCGCTATGAGTCGGAACTGGCTCCACGGCACATAACAACAACAACATAACCCAGTACTGACCCGAGGATCTTAGAGCAACAGAGATGGACAGACTGCAGTTGAAGTAGAAGGTCCAGTTGGACTATGGGACATCTATGTGAAGATGCCCTAAGGGGGTTGGGGAAGAGGGGCTGGGAGATCTCTGGGGTGGAGGAGCTGCACATGTTATCATTAGTGTGATGTTAACACAGGGATGGTGTTAGATCAGTGAGCCCACAGAGGAGAGAGAAGTGTGGCGATGGAGTCCTTGTGCTCCGTCAGCTCTGTAGTATCAAGTACTGGCTGCAGGAGGGTAAAAGTAAGGGCCTGGTATCAACGTTTTATTGTGATTTGGGTGAAAGTTTACAGAGCAAATTAGTTTTCCAGCCAACAACTTACACACATTTTGTTTTGCGACATTGACTGCAATCCCTACAAGGTAACAATGCTCTTTCCACTTTGTCCCTTCTGAACCTTATCCCTGGTGAACCTCTGCCTTTCTTAAGCTCCTACAGTTGTGATTGTTGTAAGGACTGTGTAGTTCTTTGCTGTTACTGTTCACAGCATTGTCTGTCATTTGGCTGAGGGTTGAGCTATATGGGAGTGGGCATGGTGGTAGTGGTGACTTTGGTTCCAGGTTTGAAGGACGTCTAAGGGTCATAGTCTTGAGCATTCCACCGAATGTAGCTTCTCACAAGTTTCTAAGGCCCCAGTGGCTGCTCACCAAAGTTTGATGCAAAACATTGTCTTTATGAGCTACTCGATGCCAAGTGACCTTAATGTCCCTGGAGCCTATGGTCCTGAGCTCCAAGGCCCAGCAACTCATTCCTCAAGGTCTTGGTCACGTTGAAGTTGTTTCGAGATGAGTCCTTGTCTGATATGTTATTGCTACTGTATTTTTTACCTAGTCCATATGTTCTCTTCTGACTTTTCTGGTGGGCTCTTTTGATGCACATAATGTTCAATTTTTACTTGGTCCCTG